GTCCGAAGCCTGACAACTTCGATTGAGCATGCATGAAGATTTGCTGAACTATTACTCAAATCTATCTATAGGATAACATGTACGAATTCTACAAACTTCTCGTTCTTGTTCGTCATCATAGTCAAGAGTTCTGAGCATCGATGGATCTCGAATCTAAGTGACGATCATTCGATCGAATTCAGTTAGTTGCTCTCGAGTATATGTTTTGACTTGACCTAGTTCGATATAGTCATCAGAATGAATGTCTGAAGGTAATAGAAACAGACCAGGCATGTGATCAGCACTATTGCAAGTCGGGCTCTAGAATGTATTTGTATAAGATTTGAAAAATCAGAATGAAGATGATCACATGTATTATTAGGAGTAGTACATGCCGATGTTAAATTAGAAAGATAATAACATGAACCACATGCACGTGTTCATTCTTTTCGACAACGAAATCGACTAACTGAAACAATGACCATTGAATACCGCATATCTATTATAGTTTTCATTGGAGAAATTCAATCGTTAATGTACTTTCATAGGTTATTTCATTATTCTAGCGTTATATTTCGAAAGTGTCAAACTGGTTTTGTTTACCAAAAAGATTAGTCTTGAAATTAAGAGTTCCAAATACATTCATCGAAGAAAATCAATAAATCATGGATGGTCTAGAATATAGAACAATCTAAGTATTTCCTTAATATTTCTGTTCATTTCCATAGTTTTGAACTAATTTTTTTTCTCCAAAAGATTGAGCAATCAATTCTCTACCGAGTTGCATACAACTAAATTTGATAGAAATAAAAGCAAAAAAATCTCATGAGCAATACCACAAATATAAAACATCAATTTTCAAAAGTATTTTTTGTTTTAAATTGATTTTTGTTGTTTTTTTTTCTACGAGTAAAACACTGCTTGAAAGCTTCCAAGGAGCAATACTATTAAGAGCCAGAGCATTGAATTTCTGGTTTGGATTTGACATAGAGTAAAATCTCTATTACTGAAAATGTCCCATAGGTGAACACCTTCTGTTAGTGATTACGTTCACTTTAGTTTTATTTTATAATCATAAGGAATGAATCAATAACAATACGAGCATATGTATATATATGATGGAAAAGAGTAAAGAAAGTAGAGAGATAAAGAGAAAGAGAAAGAAACAAGAAAACATATTATGTAAGAGGAGGACAAGATGAAACAACATCATATGTTAGTGACATCGCTCTAACATTCTCCCCAATTGAAGGAAAATGTGTCCTATCCACATTTTTGAATAACTAATATCAATGAGAAGTTACATAGAAAAAAAAACAAAATGTGATAATAAAGTATAAATCTTAGAAAAAGAAACAAAATAATAATAACTTTTAGTAATGAAGTATAAGTGTATAATAAACAAAGTAAAACAAGTTTCACCAAATGCGAAAAAAACAAAGAATATACTTATAACAACATATGTTTTAATATAGATAAAGACGAAAGGGACAACAACAAAAAAAAAAAAATCAATAATGTTATAATGTTAACAAAAATCAACTTAATGATCATAAAGAGAAAAATATGAGGACAAACTAAATGTGAGAAGAAAAAAAAAACTTTTCTGATTTTCATCAGTTTCATCAATAAAGAAAAGAAAAAACTAGAAAGTGAAAGAAAATCACATGAAAAAAAATACATAAATCAAAACGACGTATGAGGAATGACAAAGTGAAAATATATAGATTTTTCAAAAATGTTGAAAGACAAAATTAAGTATCAGAATGAGATTCAGTTCAATGAGACTGAAGAAAAATGTTCTAATATGTAAATTGTGAATAATGATGATAATATCTGATCGTTATTGTACGTTGTTTAATGACTTGAAATAATGTTAATTAATGCTCGTAGATGAATGTAAATGTAAATGTTTTAATAAATATATTAATATATATCGGAGATTAATATTGATGTTAATGACGATTTCGATAAGAATTATGTTGATGTTGTTGAAGACGATGATAATGTTTTGGTATAATTGTTTTTTATTTGTTTTTCTTGATATCGATGTATTAACTGCATTAGCATAGAAGGAGATGTTGTGTTGTCGAAGAATATTTTTGATTTTTCTGATGGTAAATCGACGATCGATGTTCTTGAAGATCAATTCGTGTTTGTAACAACGCTGTCGTTGACGTAATGTGCATGTTTTATTGTGGATCTTTTTCTTTTGTTCAGATGTTAATTCTGTATGTACTTGAGGTGGATGAGTAGATATTGATTGTTCACTTGATGGATCAATTGTTATTGGATTATTATCATTGGATGATATGAAATTCCAATCAGGTGAATTTGTTCGTGCATAAGTAGATGATGGAACTGAATCAATTTTTGTTAATGAAAATTGAGAATTATTTATAGGAATTTCTGTAGATGGAGCATTTGTTTCAATTTCTGATGAATTTTTATTGGTTGAATTATCATGATTTGTAAAATAAAATTTTCGTTTATTTGATTGATGAACAGTAGGTTGTTCGATTGAAAAAATATCATCATCATCATCATCATCAATTGATATAATTGGTAAAAATTCAAAATAAACAGATCGAGTATTTTCATTTGAAGATATAAATTTGAATTTATTATTTTTCATCGATATGATAATTCTTTGCATTGAGAGACAGTCATATAATGCATATGTAGTAAGTTGTTGTCGATGATTTTTTTCACTGGAATTCATGTGCTGAAGATTTGGATCAAGACCAATATCAAAACTTTGATTTGTTAATAC